AACCCCAACATTTATTGAAAACTTTAATTAAATGCCCCAAAACACAACAAAACACCCATTTTTTTATGAAATATAAAAGATGAGGTTACAATGAGTAAAACGATACCCAACATGCCCAGGTTACAAATTGCGTGCATCCGTGAAACGGCGAAAAACTGCAGTACCCCAAAAAGTCCAGGCGCACCCTACGCGTGTTTACGTAGCGACGCGCGTGCTCATGGGGGCGGGTGACTTTAAATTTTTTTTTATTATTATTAGATTTATTTTATTTTAACTTTTTTTTTTACTTTACTTTGACTGCTATCACATAGGGGGGCTTACAAGCCCCCCCATGTGATAGCAGATGGTGGTGACAGGTACTCTTTAAGGTGATGCTGGGGGTCCAAAAGGCCCCCACAGTGTCACCTTTACACTGGAAATAAGCTATTGAAGTGCAGATCGCACTTCAATCGCTTATAACTGGGCTGCAGGACAGCCCAGGGACTGGAAGTGATGCAATCTGCATTGCTCCCGGTCTCATAGAACGGGGAGGGGAATCGATGAACGGAAGATCGTCAACCTCCTCCCCAGCTCCCCGCGGACACCAAGGAAGCCGGTCCCGTAGGAGGGGCAACGGAGCACAGGGAAGCACGGCGGCGGTGCCCGACGGGGGGGCGGCCCTTTCTACGGGACACAGAAGCGATCTGGCGACAGGTAAGTCGCCAGAATCGCTTCTGTTGTAAAGCCGACAGTCGGCTTTACAAGTTTAAACAGAGTCTGTTTAAACAGCCCTGATGCTGGCGACGTACACTGTACGTCGTCAGTCACGAAGGGGTTAATATAGTACATTTTCTCAGTTTAAACATTTGATATGTTTTCTGTTTTTTATTGTGAATAAAATATTGTTTTTTTGAGACTTGCAAATCATTGCATTCTGTTTTACATTTTAAACAGCGTCCCAACTTTTTTGGAATTGGGATTGTACAAATTCTCTAAAATTAATTATGTGATACACATGGACTATATAACTTATGACTTTAAAGTGGTGGTTTGGGGTATATGAAAGGTGTGCTTTTCGGTGATAAAAAATGATGGTGCAATTTTATAATGATTTTTATCTACTAAATTAAAAAAATTATCTAATGTGCATGTTTTTGTGCATTTTTTTTTCCACCAAACTTTACACTTGGCACAATGCAGTCAGGCAAGTACCGTTCTCCTGGCAACCGCCAAACTCAGACACCTCCATCGTTTTGCCAGAAAGAGAAGCGTGATTCGTCACTCCAGAGAACATGTCTCTACTTCTCTAGAGTGCAGTGGCGGCGTGCTTTACACAACTGTATCCGATGCTTTGCATGGCACTTGGTGATGTAAGGCTTGGATGCAGCTGCTCGGCCATGGAAACCGTTTCCATGAAAGCTCTCTGCGCACTGTTGTTGTGCCAATCTGAAGGTCACACAAAATTTGGAGGTCTGTAGCTTTTGAATGTGCAGACAGTTGGCGACTTTTACGCACTGTGTGCTTCAGCATGCGCTGACCCCACTCTGTCATTTTACGTGGCCTACCACTTAGTGGCTGAGTTGCTGTTGTTCCCAGTTGCTTCAAATTTGTTATAATACCACTAAGAGTTGACAGTGAACTATTTAGTAGCAAGGACATTTCACGGAACACCAGAATCCAATGATTTGGAGGGGTGTCCCAATAATTTTGTCAATATAGTGTATACATATATCTCAAACCCAGTATAATTAACTTTTAAATAATGAACCCATTATAGTTTCCCTTTAAATAGTGTAACAACCAGACACATTATGGTGAGGTGGGCTAAAAGGAACAAAAAAGCCCCCACTTTCTTAGCAAGAAACATAGTAGAGCCTTTCTAAAAATGAAGGTATTTGCTGGTCTCACATCCATCACAGATTCAAATAATAAATGGGCAGAACCATGCAAATCATTCCCATGTGAGCAACCGTACAAAAAACCACTGGTTTATAGTACAATTTGTATATGTGAAGCAACCAGGACCTCGGAGTATGGGGAAGCATGTGACTCTTGCTACTGATTATAGGAATGTGTACAAATTGTAATACTGAATGCAAAATATAAGTGAAAGTGATGCCCTAGCCACGCTAGCATGTTACTGCTTTTCGTCCAATGATGCAGCAGAGGGTGCCAAAGCGGCCAATTGCCTTGGCTGCTGAAGGGGAACGGAGTGATGGGGTAAAGAAACAATGTATACATAGCCGAGGAAACCCCTTATTTTGCCCTACACTGGCAAAGAACAGATTCACTGCAATGAATGTTAAATTGACAGCATCCTCATTGAAGCTTTACTGCTGCATTCTTCTAGATCAGTACTGGGGTCAGAATAGGTTGAATATGAAGGGCAGTAATTGTTTTTAAACTTTACCATGTTAATAAACATGGCTTTTGAAATATCCGGTGGAAAGTTACAAAAAAAACAAACATTCAAAATAAAACTGTATCTCACAAAGAAAACAAGCTATTTTTTATAGTTACTTGTTTTTATCTGTATCATCACAAATACACGTTTCAAAGAATTTACAACCTTAGTCTTGCAAGAGAAATTCAATGAACTGGCTATTTATTGTCTACCAGAGACATTTCTAGACTTTTGTTTTATCCGATGACAAAATGTCACACAAACCGAGATTCTAGTAAATTTTAGAAACTGTAATGCAAGAAAGGGGCCATCGTTAAAAAAACAAAACAGGAAACCACAGGAGAGAAACTATGAATATAAAACACAGGGGCTGAAAACTGGTGTCAGAAATTTTGCAAGCAATGAGAAAAGACAATAACAATACAATTCGTTTTGTATGAGTTCCTCTGGGTATTGACTTCTTATTGACTTGAAAGAGGTATTTCTCCAAAGGTTCATTTGAGTCTATGGGAACCTACTGTGTAGGTATGGGCAACATGGAACAGGATGTAAACAGGAGGCCACCGATATTGGAAAAAGTTAATTAGGTACCTGGGTGGGAAGGGTTTTGCTTCGAATAGGTTAGGGAGGCAGAGAGGAGGGGCTAGGAAGTTTCTATGTTATCGTGAACCCATCCTTTAAACTGTGATCCTCGTCACACAGATATTACACTAAGTGGCCAGATTATTATGACCACCCCATTAGTACTTCGTTGGGCCACCTTTTGCCTTCATACTGCGGCGATTCTTCTTGGCATTGACTCCACGAGATGTTGAAAGGTGATGCGAGGAATCTGAAACCATGCCTGATGAATAGCACTGTCCAGTTCTGTGAGAATTGATGGTTGTGGAACCAGCTGCCTGATGGCTCTTTCAACTTTGTCCCACAACTGCTCAATTGGATTGAGATCTGGTGATTGTGGGGGCCACCTAAGCAAGGTAAAGTCTCCCTCATGATTTTGAAACCACTCCTCCACAATACGAGCACCGTGGCATGGCGCATTGTCTTGTTAGAAGAAGCCATCTCCATTGGGATACGCCATCAACATGATAGGTTGGACTTGATCAGCAACGATACTTTTGGTATGTTGTGCTATTCAGACGTTGTTCCACACAAATTAAAGGGCCCAAATAATGCCAGGAAAACATGCCCCAAACCATAACACTGGCCCCACCAGCTTGAAGGGTTGTACTCATGCATGTGGGGTGCATGCTTTCATGCTGTTTCCGCCAAATTCTCAATCTACCATCTACATAATGCAACTGGAAACGTGATTCCCTGGACCACATTACTTTTTTCCAATGCTCGACTGTCCAATCCTTGTGTTCCTGTGCGAATTGGAGACATTTTATCTTGTTAACTGCAGACAGCAAAGGTGTTCGAACAGGCCTTCGGCTTCCATATCCCATACGATGCAGTGTACGGCGAAAAGTGTGTTCAGAGATCATTTGAGAGGATCCCTGATTAAGATATGCAGTAATTTGATGCACTGTTGCCCTTCTGTTGTCTTGTACCAGTCTTGCCCCTCTCCGTTCTGCCCTAACATTGACTAGTCGGTGACGGCCACAATTCGCACGTTCAGACCCAGATTTTCGGCTGACAGTCCAGTCTTTAAAGGAGAACTATGGGGTTCTATCTTTTCTTTATTATTGCATTCCTTAGGCTAAGTAAGTAAATTGTGTAATTTACTCCTATTAGCCAAAATGCACCCTAAGACTGTAAACTTGTCCATATATGGACTTGACATCATTCACCATATATGGACTTGTCCATATATGGTGAATGATGTCACTGGGGAGGGAGGGGATCAATGCACTGCACACTACACGTGAAGTAGGTGGGGCAGATGTAGAGGAGGAGGGAGGGGGTCAAGGGCTACACAGCAGCGTCTCTGGAAGGCTGGCACCGAGGACGGGGACGTGCAGGTAAAGAGAGAGCTGTGTGCAGAGAGCTGCTGCACATGTCCATATATTCGTGGACGCGCAGCAGCACTCAAGAATCACGGTCAGTCACAGTGACGAAGATGAGTGGGGAGGATCCCGGCAGCATTGTCGGGATCTCTCCTCATTGCGGTGCTTAGCCCCGCCCACCATCTTAAAGAAGGGTTTACAGGCTTAGGGTGCATTTTGGCTAATAGGAGTAAATTACACGATTTACTTATTTAGCCTAAGGAATGCAATAATAAAGAAAAGATAGAACCCCATAGTTCTCCTTTAAACACTTTAACAACAGCTGCTCTTGAACATTTAACGAATTCTGCTGTTTTGCCAATACTCGCTCCATGGCTCCGAGCGCCAACAATTATCCCACGTTCAAAGGCTGCTAAATCGCGTTGTTTACACATATCTTCAGAAAAAAATCACTTCTACTGTCGTGGTAAACAACCTGCTTCCCTATTTATAATGGTCTGGCCCTCTAGCAACTTCAGCGTGAAATTATAGCTAATTTGCCTACAAACGTCAGGTGGTCATAATAATCTGGACACTCAGTGTATAGTGTATAACACGTTCAACTGTAATAGATGTTATATTTTAAAAATATGTTCCATTATAAAAAAATGTTTATATAATAGACTAACCTGTTATATTCTGTAGCAGAGGGCTCAGCTTGGGCTCATCACATAAGCACTGTATGAGAACTTTCCTTACTTCCCCTTCCATGACTTGCAACTCATTATTCTGCTGGAATTCTCCAGTCACAGAGTAGATATAGACCAAAAGGAGAAGAATGTCTTCTATATCATAGTCATCAGCATTTCTTTCATTATAAGATTTAATCATAGGGTATAATTGATTGAGGACTGCAGGTAGTTCCGATTTCCCAATATTCTGCAAAATAACAGAAATAAAAATGTTAATACATTTTCAAATGTCGTGACAACAGAAGCCATCAAAAAAAAACAGGATGCTGGAGAGTGAACTGATGAAATTATATGTACAAATGTTTATATGCTGAGATTTGCACTGAAGACTGCCAAAAGAAGAATTCAATTTACATTTACATGTGTCCGGCACAAAAACTTGAACCTGCAAATGCTAGCAAGCATCCTTGGGTTTCTTTTGTTTTAGATATACAAAGAGATTAATGCAACAAGTAATAATGGTCTGAAAATGAATGGTGAATATACAATATACTGCAATACAGCACAACTAATAACTATATCTATTGTGGCTCTCATAAGAAATATTGCAGGTGTGTTCATCAACTTACTTCATATAATACTATGTTTATGTGGAAATTAAACAGGCCTTCACATTTATCTCATGAAAAATAGATGAAATAAATGTACTTTGTACAAGCTAGACATTCATTGTTTGGTAAACAACAAAAAAAATCCAGACTATTCTACAGAAAGGAGCTAACTACCTTACAAAACTGCACTGTTCATAATGTCCCACATTATCCGACCAAAGCAAAAAGTAAGCAGGCCCATTATCTGAAGAATTAGGGTAGCATATTGTGGTGTTAAAAATAGATCATGGCAGTGCATGATTCCCAGAGAGGCATGATGATATTTGTAATTTCAGCATAGTTGGAGTGCCAAGGTTGCCTACCCCGGTCTACATTCTTGGTAATACAAGTTGAATCCAGACATTGCTATAGAGCACTCAACTCTATGTTGTTGATAAACTATTAATCGGAGTACCCATGGTTGTGAAGTAGATTCCCAAATACATGCACTGCAGTCTTCCTTTTTCTTCAATACAGTAGGCCTTATTCTGTATTATTTTTAGTTTAAACCACATGTGGAAATCTCGATGCGATTGCAGAAGTAGGCAGCTGAGAGAAATAGTGTGTTGCCACAAACAACCTACTGTACTATTGTTTATTTTTCTGGTGTTGTGCTGTCGTACATTTCATTCTTCCCCCCTTCCAGTTACAGAATTAAATAGGCCAGCCCTTAGTTGTCACTCACTGCTTCCTCATATGGGGGTTTACTTTTACTTCCTCCCTCATCCCTAAGAAAGATAAGAGCACATTTTTGTATAGCCTGAATAAACTATATAGGTTTCAGCTCTAACAGGGCTATTCGCAAAAGGGTGAAGAGTTTGGAGAAGGCGGGAGAAGGGAACAATCTAGGACAACAAAGCTGAACTGGAAAGTGAGCTGAATTGGAGAATTTTTCCAAATCAGCTATGTTGTCCTAGATTGTTCACTTCTCCTGCCTACTCCAAACTCTTCGGCCTTTTGTGAATAGACCTGTAAGTCTTCTTTGTGAGTTAAACGCTGCCTTTGGATCTTCTCGATTCAGCAAGTTGCCATACTGTCAGCACAGACTGGGTCTCAGAAGCTATCTCTTTCGCAAAAAGTTAAATTTTAGACAAAACGAAAAGGAAGTTACATAGTTCAGGTTCCCAAAAGAACATTCCCAGTAATCTTCATGGGCTTTTTTTTTTCCAGAGAATTAAAGAGAACTCAAATTAAACTGGAAATGCAGACTACAGCTAAATGTACAACTGAAATAAACTAATGTCAGTGTTTAACTTGCCAAAAAAAAGAATTTGTAATTCATTTCAACCACTCCCATGATTTAGACAGTTCTGCCAAACAGCACCACCAAAGATCAATCTACTACGACCTAGTTCAGCTGCTTCCTGAATAGTTGGGTTTAGGTGATGATGTAGAGTCACTGATAGTTAAGCAGGCTGATCTGTAGGTCCAGTAAATCATCTGCCTGGCAGGGTTGCCAACTGCCCATTAGTGTAAAAATGTGTGGTTTTTGTTCATGTTTGTTCATGTTTTTGTTCATGTTCATAGATGTCCAGGATGGGAACAAGTGTCCATAAAAATACTGATTTTCTTGTAACTTGCAGCCAGTAGATGCAAATTCGCCTAACACCATCTATATAGCTACAACATGTGCCGCTGCCTTCTCAGCCAATGGGCACTGTACCCTTCCCCCACCACGTGTGACTGAAAGCAGAATACTACAGGGTGGAATTGGAGAGGATATAACACACATTTTGTAAGTATCCAGGAGATGGTAAGATGGAGTATGGGCAAAGGTAAGAGATCTTTGCTGCCAAGTTGTTTGCCTATTTGGTCTTGGAGCCATGGTTAAGAAGCTGCTGAAAAAAGATTGCACAGCGCTCCACTCTGGCAGGCTGCAAAATGTTGGAGAGGAGAACATACATAAGGTTAAAAAATATAAAGGTTTGGGGGGTCATGTTCCCTGCCCTCTTCCACACTGATCACACCTTAGTTGGGAAAGTGACTGGCTAGTGAACAATGCTTTCCCTTTTCTGACTAGCTGGACAGATCCTCACCCCACAAGTCATGGCATCTTCAAATTTCTGCTCCCAGTATTTTTGTAGATGTGCCAAACCCTCATCCCCCTCTCACCATGTTTTGATAATCCTAGTCATGATCTTTAGATGTTTTTCATTGTAAAGCCAGGCAGATTATTTTTATTCATAATGCTTAAACATTGATTGGGTCAGCTTCTAATGGGAGATTCTAACACATTTTAGGTAAATTAAGTGTACCATCCATCTATCAAGAGCTACATGTTAATTGAACTAGGGAGTGCTGTCATTCCCATCAGCAGCTCTGTACCCTGCAACAGGATTTACTACAGTTGTTAAGAGGTTACCAGGCAAAGCGTAAATATAAGAAAAGATGTTAGAGTTTGAAATACCTTACTTCTTAGCAGCTCTATGTTACTTTGCCTCCCTAGGCAACTAGTTCACAAATGCCATGTGCTAATTACCGCCTTGAATATTGTAAAAAATAAATAAAAATACAAGAAACCGTAAAAAATGCATTGTTTTTCAAGGATTACACTTAAGATGTCATGAGTCCCAGTGGTAAATGAGTGTCCCTGGAGTTGGAGCCCATGCTTCAAATACATTAAACCCTGCAAGCAATTAAAAGCAGCCCTGTAGCCAGGAACTGGGATGGCAGGTAGTTAAGAATACCCAAACGATGCACAGCTTGTGTTATTGGCAGCAGTCTGTATGAAACCACATCATTAGTATTTAGCCATTTATTATAATTTGCTACAAGTGCCATAAAAAATAATATGATAAAGTAAAGAAGAGTCAACGACAGCTGTGTATGTTAACACTATGGGGTATATTTATAAAGAATTCAGGGGGCCATTCACCCTGTGATACTCTGTGCACGTTCAACTGTGTGAAGTTGAATGTAATGTAATACCACATTATGGCCACTAGATGGAGCTGAGGAGCATAGGAAATAAGTATTTATTTCCTATGTTCCTCAGGGCCATCTGATGGCCATAATATGTTATTTCATTATATTTGACCCGAAAAGAACATACACTAAGTATGTTTGTTGTTGCCACTATGCACATGGAAAATGTTCACAGAGATTCACATGGTGAATGGCCCTGTGAATTACTTACAATTTCTCCCTGCTTGCCTCTTTTGGGCACATCATTCACAGTTCAGATATGCTTCCAACGGTTGGCATGCCCTTTAAACTCAAAGTGCTCTAGTTTAGACATTGACCTAACCCCTATATTGGATAAACTTATCAGGGTGGACAATTCTAAAGGCTTAATTACAGTTTGATATTCTTATCTTACTAGATATCTAGTTAAATATAATTTTCAATGTAAGGGAAATTGGGAGAAGGATCTGGGGGATATCTTGAAAAGATCCTGCAATTACTATTGCTAGTGTCACTATCTCCAACAGGTTCACACAGCTTGTCATTCTGCATAGAGCATATTGTGCACTACAACTGTTTTGTGGCATTAGTCTCAAAGAGAACTCATGCTGTACCTAATATTGGCTAAATCAGAAAGACACATTGCTTTTTCTTCGGAAATGCTCAGACATGCGAGATACTGGGACAGAGTAATAAAAACCATTAACACAATATATGGTGTCAATTTGTGTTGGCCCTCTACTTGTATCCTGTGGTATCTAGACACTTCTGTCCTGGGCTGACCTGCTTTAAACGCAGTGGCTAGAATTCTTTCTTGGTGAGGAAACTGATAAGCAGAAAATGGATTCCTCAACCTTCTATCGGACAATGGCTTAAAATAATAATCCTAATACCCACGTAGGCAGGGAAAAAAATGTTTAAATATTTGGTCTTGAAAGGTGGAAAACCCTTTTTGTGCATAAATTTAGAAACTAAAACTAAATTTGAGACTATTGGGGAGGATGCAAAAGCCACTACATATTTTACTGTTGTTTTACTGTCTTTACTGTGTTATGTTGATGTCACTTTTGATGAAGATGGAACATTTTAGAATTCAGTATATTTCCTGGACTGTGTTATTGCCAAATAATTTAAAATGTCTTTTAAAAGGCGTCAATAAGGCAAGTCAGACTCACCAATTACCAATGTAAGTTACTGAAACATATTTTCATGTCTGCAAAGCAGACGATTGCCAAATACTGGAAAACCCAAATGTTTATATCTAAGTTGGTTTCTTCCCTAGGGTAAAATAAACTCAGAATGAACACACTAATTTCACAGACATCTCATCTCACAGTAGACAACCTACTCTGCTGTATTCTGTATGGTTTTCCGGTAATGAAATGCAATTTCTGTTCTCCCATTACTAGACTGTAGCCCCCCTACCGTCTATACCTTCTACAGTGTACTACTAATGTGGCAACACTAGTAGGGTATGAGGCTAGTAATGAGCAGACGTGAAGATCTGTGTATGCAGATCAAATCAGCAATAATAAGTAAAAACCACTAGGCAATCTCGGGGAAGAATTCCTTCATTTTGTCTCTGCAATACCATTAAATATATTTACTTTCAGGAAAGTTTTTTTTTTTAAACAGAATACATTACTGTAACGTCTACTGTAGGTTTGGTTTCGTGGATCACAACTGCGGAGGC